ATGCACAAGAGTCAGCCAATCAGAGCGAGCAGGTCTGATGACTCACCAGTTGCCGGGCAGACCCGCAGCACCCAGTGTTCCCCACCTGGACCCCCCCTCCCTGCCCAGTCACGGCCCCACCGCGGGGTCCCCCCAGTCCCTCCCCAGTGCCCCCCATAAACTGGACTGGGTTTAACTGGGAAGCTTTACTGGGAACACTGGGAGCAGCTGGGCAGGGGCAGAGTGACAGCGGGGCTGGGGGGACACACGACCCCCCCAAAATCAGGGCGGGGATGGAGCAGGGGGGTCCCGGCCGGGCCCGAGGCCACGGGGAGGGGCTGCGGCCGGCGGCGGCTCAGGAGCTCTGTGGGCAGAGAAAAGGGGGTGACACTGGGCTGGGGGCCCCGGGGGGAGCACACACGCTCCCGGGAGAGGGGGGACACGACCCCCGGGACCCCCCCTCACCTTCTTGCACAGGTAGAAGCCGAACCCCAGAGCCAGGAAGACGAAGCCCAACACGGACCCCCCGACCCCTGTCAGCATCTTGCTGTGGGCGGCATCCAGCGGCATCTCTGGGGGGTGTGCAGGGGTCAGGATCCCCAAAACCTCTCACAGACAGCCCAAGTCCCTCCAGGCACCCTCCCAGTCGCCCCCAGCCCACCCAGGATTCCCAAAGACTTCCCCCCCAGTCCCTTCCCAGCTTCCCCAGGACCCACCAAAGCCCTTCCTGTCCCTCTCAGGATCCCACAGCCCCCTCCCCCATCTCCAGCCGCTTCCCAAATAATTTCTGAGGTCCCACTCCCCCTTTTCGCACCCTTTCCTATGCTTTTCTCCAATCCCCAGCCCCTCACACTCAGTTCCGGGGTCCCACCCTGGCCTTTTCCCAACTTTCCCACCCTTTCCCACCGCTTCCTCACCTCCCCCCAATCCTCAGCCCCTCCCGCTCCTTTGGGGATCCCCTCCTCCTCCCCCTCCATCTCTGGGTCCCACCGCCCCCTTTTCCCCCTTCTCCCCTCCCTGTCCCCCCCCCTCCCGCCCCCCCGCTCACCCGAGAGCTCCCCTCAAATTCCTCAGCCCTTCCACACCCATGAGCCCCGCTCCCAGTTGAAACCAGGCTCTCTCCAACTGCCTCCCAGTTGCTCCCAGCACATCCCAGTGCCTCTCCCAGCATCCCCAGTGCCTCCCCTGTACCCCAGTGCTGGCTCAGGGGATGCTCCAGGCTGACGTGCTCCACCTGGCAGCTGCAGGTGACCCCGCACTGGGGGCAGTTTCCAGCAGCACCAGGAGCTGGTGGGTCCAGTCCCCACTGGGAACCACATCGGTGGCCACCACAGAGAGCTCCTGCTGGCCCTGGAACCACCTCAGCTGGATGTGGGCAGGGTAGAAATCCATCACGGAGCAGAGCAGGCAGCCGGGGCCGGGCTGGGAGCTCGAGGGTGCCAGCGAGATGGACACGGTGGGATGGGCACTGGGAGAGAGCGGGGACACACTGGGATCAGCTGGGGGGAACTGGGAGAGGGAGGAGAGGGATGGAGTGTCATTGAGAGGGACTGGGAATGGACTGGGAGGGACTGGGATGGCACTGAGAGAGATGGCAGGGGATGGGGGGCACTGGGAGAGAGGATGGAGGTCTGGGGGTGAGCTGGGAATGGACTGGGAGTGTACTGGGGATGAGAGGGGAGGAACTGGGAGGAACTGGGAATGACGCGCGCGGCACTGGGAGGCCGAGTCCGGCCCGGGGCACTCGGCGCTGCGGGTCTGCCTGGCAACCGATGAGTCATCAGAGACACGCGCTCTGATTGGCTGAGAGGCATCAGCAGCACGCTAGGCTGAGATGGACACGACGGGGGACACTGGGAGAGACTGGGATGGACTGGGAATGGAGTGGGAGAGACTGGGATGGACTGGAAGAGCCTGGGAATGGATTGGGAATGGAGTGGGACGGACTGGGGTCACTGGGTTGGACCCCGAGGGAAGGGAGGCCCCAGGGATGGGCACAAGGAGGGCTGAGGGCTCTGGGGCGATTCCCAGGGAGGTTTTGAGGGGCTCCAGGGTCACTGCCAGGGCAGGGCCCGAGGGGACACGCTCTGCCCCGCGCTCACCTCGGCGCTCCCTGAGGAACACGGCGGCCACCTCCGAGTTGCTCCGCCAGTACCAGTGCACCGCGGTCCTTTTGAGCCGCATGAAATCCGGGAGGCTGTTCCAGTAGCCGGCCACCTTCTCCCCAAAGGGGGCGAACCCCACCAAGTGCCCCACTTTGTCGCAGTCGAAGTGCAGGAGCTGCTCCCGGTTGTAGCTGTGCCTCTCCGCGTACTTCACCCTGTCGGTGCCGTTAATGAAGTGACACTCAGCCTTTGCAATCCACTGGAACAGCCCTGAGTGTGCAGGACAGAGGTCAGGGGTGCACCCCAGCACCCCCAGAGCTCCGGGGTCATCCCGGATCCCGATCCCGCACCCCCTGTGCCCCACGGCCGCTGTGGGACCCTCCTGTCTGCACTGCCATTTCCTCTTTCCCACCCTTCCCCCATTTCCCCTTTCCTGTCCTCTCCCCTCCCATCTCCAGCCGCTTCCCAAATAATTTCTGAGGTCCCACTCCCCCTTTTCGCACCCTTTCCTACGCTTTCCCCCCAATCCCCAGCCCCTCCCGCTCAGTTCTGCGGTCCCACCCTGTCCTTTTCTCCATTTTCCCACCCTGTCCCACCACTTCCTCACCTCCCCTCAATCCTCAGCCCCTCCCGCTCCTTTGGGGGTCCCCTCCTCCTCCCCCTCCATCTCTGGGTCCCACCGCCCCCTTTTCCCCCTTCTCCCCTCCCTGTCCCACCGCCTCCCGCTCCCCCGCTCACCCGAGAGCTCCGCGCCCGCAGCCGGGGGGGCTCCCAGCAGCAGCAGTGCCAGCAGTGCGGCCCCAGCTGCCGCCCCCCGCCCCATGGCCAGCGCCGGGCAGGGGCCGCCAGCCCCAGAGCAGCCGCGCTGCGCTGGGAGCGCCAGTCCGGAGCAGCGCGGGCTCGGCAGCGCCGCGCGCTCTCATTGGCTGCCGGCGCTGCTGCCCGCCCGAGCGCAGAGGCTCTGCCCGGCAACTGATGACTCTGCAACGCCCCGCGCTCTCATTGCCTGCGGCGCGTTCCGCCTGTGCTTTCATTGGCTGACGCGTTCCCCCCTGCGGCGTCGGGGCCGTGGGCCTTTTCCAGGCAGGGCGAACCTTGGGGCGCCGGGCAGGTGCGAGCTCAGGTGTGCCCAGAAATGCGCGCCCAGGGCCGCGGGATCTCAGGGGTGCCCGTGCCGAGGGGTGACGCTGGCCCGATGCCAGGCACCCCCAGAGCCGCTCTGTCCCTGCCCCCCGCAGCCGCACAGCCACAGAAAATGGAACCGAGGCTTCCTGCGTGGGGACGAGGAGCGGGAGAGATCCCTCAGCAAATCCGGCACGGGCACAACACACCCGGCCTGGGCACAGGGAGGGAATTTATTACCAACCAAATCACAGCAGCACAAGGAGAGGGCAAAGAAATCTCTCCAGCACCTTCCCCCCACCCAACGGGGATCACCCGGGTCGGGGTCACCAGGGCTCTGCCCAACG